CCCCCCAGCCCGCTCACGTGACGGCAGACGGGGCACCGCTCCACCTGTCAGTGAGGCGAGGGGAGGGGCGCGTGCGAGGCGGGCCCGCCCCGCCCCTCTTCTCGCGCCCCGCCACGCGCCCGTCCGTTGGCGCAGGCGGGCCAACGGTCGCTCCGCCCTCGTGAGGGGAAAGTCCCTGAACGGGTGCTGGCGTCGCCGCGCCTTCCCCTCGGCTTTCCTGCGGCGGATGGAACTAACCGCCGTAACGCGAGGGCAGCGAGATCCGGGCACGGAAGACCTTTCTCTACCCGCCCTTCGGCGCGGGCACTACCCACAGCCTAACGGCCCCTCAGGCGGCGGGTGGGCCTCCTCCCTTCTCCCCGCGCGAAGAAACCATTATGATCCGGTGGTGCCAAGGCAGCCACGCCCCGTGGCCGAGCCACGAGAAGGCGGGCGGGCACGGCTCTGCCCGGCTCGTGCGCGAGGTCCCGCTTCTTCAACGCCGTCTACGCCCCCAGCCCGGAGCCCTCGTTACGCAACGCCGCCCGTGAACGCAGCGCAGCACACCCTCCTCCTTCCTCTCCTCCCGCCCCCAAAGCCCGCACCGCTCCCGAAAACTTCCCCCCGCCTTCTCGCCCTCCGGTTTTTAAAGGTGCTCAGCAAACTTGCTGGTACCTGATCATCGCAAAGCTCCTCTGATTGATGGGCTCCTCGCCCTCTCGTGAACCGCGACGGACACAAAACCCGCCTCCTCCCGCTGACGCTGACCAATGGCGTGAGGCCGCCGAGAGGGGCGGGCGCTGAGCGCCAACCAAACCGGAGCGCAGCGGTGGAAGAGCGCTATGACTGACGTAAGTCAACAAAGGTCACGTGCAGCGCCGCGGAGGCGCCGATTGGCCGCGCGGGCCCAGGCGGGCGGGGAGGCGGTGGGGGTTGGGGGGGGGTGACGGCGGCGGCGTGGGGCTGGCGGTGTGACACAATTACAACAACTTTGGGCAGCCGCCGGGGAAGTTTGTACAGGCGGCGCGCAAAGCCCCGCTGCGGGAGGGCGGGCCGGGCCCGCGCCGCCCCGGCTCCGCGCGCAGCCCTGGCCGCCGGGGCGAGCGGCGATGTAAACACCGCTCGGCCGCCATCCTCCGCAGTCTCCTCCTCCCCCCCCCCCCGCCCCCCC